GCCCTTCTCTCCGCTTTTCAAACTGGAGAGGCGCGGAGGTACGCGCTTCGGCGTCGGACTACAACTCCCGGCATGCAACGCTCTGGGCTGAAGCGACGCATTCTGGTGCCATGGTGGGCGCTGTAGTAGTGTCTGCCGTCTGCAGGTTCCAGTCTCTGACAACGTTCATTTTTAAATTAATTTTTAATGATTTGTTTTTTTATTAACGGGTGACATAGTATGTAAAAATACAAACGGTGGAATTTCGTAATACAGTAGGATGGAAATGGAACATAGAGGTTTAGAATTGGAAAGCAAAGGTCTAGAAGAACAGAGATGAGGACAGAGATCAATAAAGGCGAATTCGAAAGTCAAGCAATAAGGTAGAGGACATTAAACCCGAAAATCTGGAAATCAAATAGAATCCTAACTCTTCTCATTTTACACATTAGTAACAGACTCAGGGAGGAAGAGCGAATTACGACGTCATATAGCAAATGCCAGATCCTATGGTGCACTTAGTTCTTGCAATTCTCACAACCACATGACGTAGGTAATACTATCCTGCCCTTATTTTACAGGACTTGAGAGTCGACTTGCTCTAGTGAGGGTTGAATTGGTATCTAGGCAGTCTGAGTCCAGAGCCCAAGCCCCTTCCCGTACATTCCACTCCTCTTGGTGTTTCAGTTGTCACTGGATTCCGGAGTACATGTGACTAATGTCCTTCCAGCCGCAACACATTAACTCTGACGTCTCATGCCGATATAAAGTTACTTCAGAAAAAAAGTAGGACTAGAATCGCATTAAATGTAGTGTCTCCCAAATCGCGTCGATGCATTCACGTTCTCTAACGGTCCTTAGAGCGTGTTTTAGTATTTTATTTCTATTCAATGGTTCAATAAGTCAGTAAACATTGAAAAGCTACTAGAAACAGACTGAGCTGGGCACTGCTGACATTAGAAGGAATAAACATACAATCGCAGCACTCAAGGGTTCAGATTATTTTGTCTACCGACAAGTAAACAGATAAAGTATACTACGGGATAACTTTCGTGTCTGTTCATCTTGGCATTACCTCGGGATTACAAACCTCTTTATAAACCAGAATGCTATCCTATTTCTTTGTACTCAACTGCACGAGGTAGTGTCGGGCATACAGTAGTTGTTCAATAAGTACACGTTACTGTTCATTTCTGCTCAATTAAAAATCATCTGTGGAGTGCCTGTTCTCTGGAAAACGCCGGATACTTATTTGCTATTGCCGAGGTCGTACACAACGAAGATTCGGGCTAAAAGATACACTGATTTAAAAGTTTCGCCTTCATTCAGCCATCTCAGAGTTTCTAAAGTGGTTTTGCTATTTTACTCCAAAATATAGCACGGTTCTGCCTTTCCTAAAATCTAGTTTAGATTTTCGACTCCAGCAACTCACTTGCAGGCACCTAAGGAGCGCGGGGCGCAGCGTGCTGGCACGCACGCGCACTTGCTGTCGCCGGTGAGCAGGCCCGACCGCGG